TTTTTTTTTTTCATTTCTTCTAACGCTACGTCTAACTACTATTTTTCTTATGCAAATTCACAGAGCACACCTGCAATGATTTCACCTGTGCAGCGCGTGAATTTTGCATAAGTCCGGATTTACTCTGCGATGGCATTAATCATTGCGGTGACAATTCTGATGAATCGGTGTGCCAAAGTAAGTATAAAATAAAAAGAGAAAATGTATAAGTGTGAAGGAGACAATAGAGTATAAAAAATATTACTGTAATTGAATTAGTATGTTAGTAAGCTGCTTTTATTATGCATTCCCTAAGTAGGGAAAGCAGTTTAAGTACTTGAAAAAGTGCAAAAAAATTTTCATTAATAGGGGACTTGAGATGGTGGGCGAATATTAAAAAAATATATTTTCTCAGCTTTGTTAGCATAAAATATCAGTAGCTTCGTTGATTGCCAAGCATAAAGCTTTCAATGTAGGAATGTCCATTTCATTATTTTCTTACATTTATGTATAATACTTTATTTACTTTTAGGCGAAACAGCTGCCACAGTTTTCGGGGTAGATATGACTTGGTTTGTGTTGATCGTGGTCGGTATCGTACTGGTTTTGAGCGCCGTAATCGTAGGTATTTCGATATGCGTTTGCCGACGACAGGATGAAGCGAACCTCAACCAAAATACAGCAATACAAAGTGAGTCATCTACATATATATGTACATATATATATACTCATACTACTTGTGTGTACACGTTAGGGAGGTCCTTAAAATATCGGCAGCTAAATTTTGTATAGGGCTCGCCTTTATTTTGTTCTAGTACATAAAAAGTAAAGACATCCAATAAAATTACAAAATCTTTAATAAATTTTTAATAGTAGATACCAGCAATGTTTTAAAAAATTAAAATTTTTCAAATTCCCGAAATTTCGACAAAACTTTAAATTAGACCAGCTGTAACTCAGCGTATTGAAACTTATTGTGATGAACTTTTGTCGAATTTTTGCGATTAAGGGCCAAATTCACATAGTTTGAACCAGCATGCCCCCATAGTTAAACTCTTGTGAAATTCAATTGTTTTTGTGGATCGAATTTCAAATTTGAATATTAAACTCTTGACATTTAGAATTTGTAATTTTGAGGCGATATGAATTTTCATAGTAAACTATGTGACTCTGAATATAAATTCAAAGTTAAACTCTTGTTGGTGGTAAAGTTAACAATCGTTTAACTAAGCACTGTGAATCCCGCCCTAAAAAAAATTAATTTTTCAAACTCCAAAATTTTTTAATTTTCGATTTGTCTTTATTTTGTTCGTAAAAAAAAATAAATAAATTATATTCAACAATTTTTATTGAGCTTGGGGCCGTTTTTAAAGAAAAACTATTGTGGAAAAGCAACAATAATTTTGAAAAAATGGTACAAGTGATAACTATTTCGGAAATCACCAAATTTCCTCATCCGAAATTTTCGTGATTTCCGAAATAGCTATCACTTCTACCATTTTTTCAAAATTAT